TATAGCAGTTGAAATATACGCGAGATAATGGGTCCTCATTTTGCCGAGAATTTTTAACACACCCTTTGTTGAAAAATAATTTCCTCTGGCTGAATTGGAAAGGTGGTCTGAACATTAACAGTGAGCAGCCAATCTTCGTTTTATTTATAAGCAGAAGCCGATAAGTTCAAGATACGTAGGACTACCATAACTGCATTGTTTACAGCACAATTTGTATTTTAGTACTAGTGCCATCAACTTTATGTAGATGATCATATCGATCTTGTTATAATGGTTGTAATTTCTTGAAGTTTGAGCTTAGCGCTTTTTCAGCTGGACACAGATTTTAGTTCAATGACCAGAGATGAACGTATACAACGAGATTTTGCACAACTATCGGAAGCTAAACGACGACGATTGAAGTAAATTTTCATGCTTGTTTTTTGGTTTCTGGGTGCTTCCAATGTACCTGCCTAAATTTTTTGCAAAATTTCGCAAAATTGCAAGATTTCTTTTTTTTTTTTTTTACAAGATTTTGACATTCTTTGGAATAGTTCCAGCTATTATCGCCAAGAAAAGACAAAAAAAAAAAGGAAAAATTACAAAAATGGTGAATTTTTTCTCAAAATCACGGTATCCTTGGCTACAGTTGAGCTAAGTTAGTAACGACTTCTTCAGTGCCGGATCGGAAAGTTCGGATGCGGAAAAAGAAACGGCAGAGCCTCGTCCCGGTGATAAAGGTTTCATAATGCGTGCACGTGTGCCACGGGTCTCCCAGAAAGATTACGTGGTTCGACCAAAGAGTAACGTTGAGGGACAGTTTCGCGGAGCAACGAAAAATCGTGCAACCAGCCGTTTTGATCGAACACAACGCGAATTCAAAGAGCGCACAAAGCAGCAACGGGCACAACGTGCTGTTGCTGTTAGCATTAATCGGGTAAATTTCTAATGATTAATGTTACCGTGTTTAAATATCGCGATTAAGTTACCATGATTATCATGATTAAATTTATTACGATGGCGAAGCATTATCATGATTTAATCTGTGTTAATATTACCGCGATTATGGCATGCATGGCATTGTGGTAAATATCAGAGGTGTTACGTAACAGGTTGAGAATTTGATTCTGCCATTCCCTTCACTAATTGTTCATTAGTTTGGATGGTAAATTGCTACTGGGGCATGCCAGGGAAGTCAAATCCGCCATCAGCTTGCTTATTAGCAATCCTCGAAACAAAGAGTCATTGATAATTTTGTCAAAGAATGGTTTTTGTTGATATTTGCAACCACTCGGGTTTTAGCTACTTCCCGAATGCCTGTGCTTCTCACAGAGAATGAATGCGAAGAGGATCTGCCTAAAACAAAAAGCATTGCCAAAGAAATTTGCATATTTCTTTATTTTATCACGATTTTTTTTCAGGAAGTTTGAAAGTTGGACATTCATGTTCTTCATTTCAACGAGTCAAAAAATTCTTTTTTTTTTTTGAGGATCTGGTGGTAGGCCTTTTTTGCACCGTTGTAAGCTGATTCTTCTTTTCGAATATTGGCTTTTTTTGGCGGGTAATCCTGCCCAACGGTTTGCTGGCGCATGTGTTTTGTTATCAGTTCTGTCCATTGTTCCTGAATTATCCATTATTTCTATACTATTTTAATTATTGATGTTTATTTTTGAATTATTATTCGAAAAATTATTTGAATCATTTTTTATTTTATGCATATTTTATGAAGCCCTTCCGCGCTTCCCTAAAAAGCAAAGATTTAGAAACTTTCAGTTGCCTTATTTTTTACCGTTATAAAAATTTTTTGGCTGTTAGCCAAAAGTGAAATCACTGTTGCTGTGAGATTTCACAAAAAAATCCCCCGTTT